GCCTGGAATACAGGCTATTGGTGAGAAGGCAAAATTAAAATGATGTGCACCATCCTAGGCCCAAGAGGGCCATCTGTGGCACTGTCACTAAAGAAACGTGAAGGTGACTATGAATACCGCAAATGGTTTCCGGCCACACTCAGACAAAATATGTCTTTAGCGGGTGCAAGAAACCTATTTACAGCCCGAGGAGTCTGGACGGCCCTTCTAGAAACCTGATTACTCTGTTTATGACAACTCAGACAGCCAGGGAGAAGCCACGGCTCTGTCAAACAGATCAGCCTACGTGAAAGGCAATACCTATGTCGGGGGACCCTGAATAGTGGGAGAGGGGCTAGGGACACACACAAATCACAGGCCACTAAAAGCAGGCCACTGTCACTCCAATGTCCCGTCTCCATCAAAATAAACAGGGAGAAGAAAGATTCTGACGGGAGCAGAGACAAGGCAAGTTTAGATCCAGCCCAGCTGCGGCCAGACGGTTTGCAGCAGCAGCTGGTTCCTGTGGGAGTTTGAGATTTTTGTGGCAGATTGGGTGTGTTTTGCACTCCCAGTCCTCCAGTCCCAGTGTCACTTTGTTCTCCTGCTTAGGAACAGGGAGCTTTCAAAGGAGCCCCAGGTTTTTGTTGTCACACAAACAATAGCGGTCCCACTGCGACAGAGTCTTGGTTACGTCTGGTTTTGTTCAACAGAATATGTTCCTGGAAAGACGTACGTAAATGGACTCAGAAAGAAAATGCCCCAGTATAAGTGTAAGACGTGATTGCAGAGACAAATGCATCATAGCCCCATGGGATCTCTGAGGTGGGCTGTGAGTTTGGATTTTCTCAATAAGCATGTAGTTTGGAAAGAGAAAAAAAATGCGTACCATACAAAAGAAGCTCCCAGGCACTCGCTGGAGCCTGGCAGAGTCTCCTTTGGTGAGAGTAGCCACCCTCAGAGGAGTTTCATTGTCTTTGGGGGTATCTGTAAGCAGGGGGCAGACGCTGACGGTGGTTCTGAAGGGCTGTCCTGGGCCTGCACAGAGCCTGTGAAGCGGTTTCCAGAAGTTGACGGTGGTTCTGAAGGGCGGCCCTGGGCCTGCACAGAGCCTGTGAAGCAGTTTCCAGCGGAGCTCCACTCCTCATCCTGTCTCGCTCATCCACACTTTTGCATCTCACGGTTCCCAAAAGTGAGACAGGCCCTCCTTTGAGTCTACTTGGCAGAATGAGCTAACCGGTCACCAGCATTTGCCAGAAGAACTCCAGTGAATGGTGGGGTACTGGTAATGTAGGAACTGGAGGGAGTCCTTGATCCCCCAGATAGCCTTGGGGAGGTTCATGCAACCAGCCAAACATCATAAAACTTACAATGAAAAAGCCAGCCAAGTGATGCTCCTCCTCTCCTGCTGGGGTCTACAGGAAGCACTCCTGAAGCCCGTGCTCACCTTGGGGAGGCTGCAGCAGTACAGAAGAACCTGCCTGCCCATCACTGGAATCTTTATGGTGTTCTAGGGCTGCCCGAGGCTGGGTAAGTCCCTGCACCCTAAGGTTGCCTCAGCTATTCCTCCTTCTGAGGAGTCTGTGGGGTGAGGTGTAGGGAGAAGGAAGAGAAATTTTCTAAGGAAAAGAATCACTGCAAGGAGGCAGCCCCTCCCTGAAAGCCTGGAAGCAGGGCTGTGTGGCTCAGTGGTGAGTATGTCTCCCAGATCCTTGAGCTTTACACCACCTCCATTTTCCAGCACTGTAACCTCAGGAAAGGTACCAAGTCTCTCTCGGCCCCAGTTCCCCAACTGTACAATAAGGCACTCACAGTACCCACCTCTGGGGCTATCTGGGGGACTAAATGAACTAATATGATGCAGAAAGGTTAGGAACACATGAAGCACAATAAAAATGTTAGCTGGAGTTTATGGCATCTGGGGTCTCCATCTCCTGCTGGCTACCTGTGCAGAAAGTATAATGTCTTATAAACTTCTCACCTCTAGCCATTTAGGGGAAGTAGCACTCAAGAGGTTTTTTTTTTTGATTTAACGCAGAAGGTCAGAACCATCATCAATACACGTCATCACACGGCTTATGTTTACCTGGTGTGAACATAATTTAAAGTGCTTCACAGGCACCTCAAATCATGTAAAGAGAAGCAGATAGGACAACCCAGCAGACTAGCCAAGGAGAACACTGGCACAGAAATGGGCAGAGTCACAGCAACACAAAGTGGTTTTCAAGCCATTCTAGGTACCTAAAGTGGGAAGAACTCATCGCCCAGGAACAACCATTGTTAGCTCTGTACAGGACTGTGTGCAAAGCTTTGCCACATACGCCGTCCATGTATGTGATGGACACTCTGTGGTCCATCCCAAGCCTCATTCTCAGCCTTGGGCACTGGGCTAGAAGATCATGTGTTGATATGCCAAGATGTAAGGCATAATACAAATACGTTACAAGCCATGTGAAAACTCAGTAATTATTCCTACCTCTCAAAGTCATCATTTGGAGAGTTACCGACCCCATTTAAGGAATGGAACTGTAGAGAAGGAAAATGGCCTGCCCGTGGCTCCAGAGCTGTCAGCTCCAGACCTAAGACTTGAATTTAGGTCTCTTGACTCCAAGGCCAGAGGCTCAGTGGTCAGCACCGGAGAGCAGGAACGATACCTGGGACAAACTCAGAACTGTGCTGCCCACGCCTCTCACAGCCTCTTCTAATTTCCTCCGTAAGGGGCTCAAATGATGCCAGTTCTTTACCTTGTACCCAAACCTCAAGGTAGACTCAGTGTGCAAGCTCTGACTCCAGTTTATCTGTCACCCAGTCCGGCCTCCCCCCAGCTTAGCCACAGTCTCCTCCTTTTCAGTGCCTGGGGTGGGGGCCCCAGCACATGACACAAAGGTACCTCGATGGCCCATGCTGCCTGGGAACAGTGAGGAGCAAGGATCAGAGTGCCAGATCATATACCCAGTGACTTGACTTTAAAGGCAGAGGGCAGACCTAACTGAAACCATGTATTGCTCTCCTGGGACTTGTCCAAGGCTGCCTTGATCCAGGCGTAGCTCTGAGAGGTGAAACTGCATGACAGAAACCACAGAATTCATCTTGACTAAAACATGAACTTGCAGACAAGAGTTCTTTCCTAAGGACTTCTGCTCAACAGCGTGGGGAAATAGCAGTCTGGGCCAGGTGGGCCTCATGTTTGGCCATGACTGTCCCTCACCGCCGACCCTAGAAGCTGCCCCACACAGCTCGCCTTTCTGATGTTCTGTGCAGATGCACCAACACGTGCAGGGGCAGCACATGGAGCCTGTGAGAACAGAAAGAGGTCACAGCCGCTCTCAGCACAGACTGCACAGCGGAGGGACAGCTCCCACACTCACCAGACTCCCTCTGGCAGAGCTGGGCCACGTGCATCTGTTTATCAGCCGGCTTTGTTAGCACACAGAAGGGCGATAGCAGAAAACATTAGACGCCAAAGAGAAAGACGGTGCCACAACTACAGAAAAAGGAACCCAAAAAAAACCCAAGCCCTTGGGTTTGCAGTCCTAAAGGGCGTGTTACACAGAATGCAGCAAAACACAAAGGCCAGTGCCGAGTCTGGGGACACGCACCAGCTAGAAAATGCTGTGGTGACAACCCGAGTTCGGGCCTTGGAAGCCAGGTCAAAAGCTAGATGTGGCAGGCTGCATCTGCATCCCCGAACTCCGCAATCAAGAAGGGAAGCGGAGACAGAGCGGGCTCTGGAGCTCACAGGCCAGCTGCTACCTTGGAGTGCATGGCAGCAGAAACAAGAGAGACCCTGCTTCAACAGGGAGAAGGTGAGCACTGACTCCTGAAAACTGCCCTCTGGCCACACACACACACACACACACACACACACACACACACACTCACATGCACACTCACAACACACTCACACACACCACACACTCCACACATACCCACACACCACGCACACACATGCACACAACCCTCACACACACCACACACACACTTATACACACCACACACTTACACATACACACACACACACACACACACATACACACACACACCACACACTCATACACACACACTTAAACCAGCAAAAGAGAGCACTAAAGCAGTTCCCTTGGGAGTCAGGAACCTGGTGGAACTTGTCACCTCCTCTCTCTGGCTCAAGGGAATCTGCAGCAATGACACTCTCAGCCAAAGGGATCCACAGCGATAAACTATTAAAAATTATTTTAAGGCTAGAGAGATGGCTCAGAGTTTAAGAGCACTTCATGTTCTTCCAGAGAACCTAAGTTTGATTCCCAGCACTGGCCAGGCGGCTCACAACTGCCTGTCACTTCAGGCCTAGATCCGATGCCTTCTTCTGACCTCTGTGGGCATTCACACACACACATGCCGTGCACAGACACACACACACACACATTAATACTCTGGGGGCTTGCTACGACAGGGTTTCACTATGCAGCCTTGGCTGGCTTAGAGCTCATTATGTAGATCAGGCTGGCCTCAAATTCATAGGGATAGGCCCTTCAGGCTCCAAATGCTAGGACTAAAGGTGTGCACCACCACACCCAGCAATAAATTTTTTAATTGAGAATTTTTAAAACATAAAAGCATGTGGCTTCCCCCCTTAAAAATTGTGAAATGCTAGTTGGTAAGTATCTCTGATTTTTGGAACATATGGCAGAAAGCTGGACACTGTGGCTCATGGCTGTAATTTCAGCATTTGGGATGCTCAGGCAGGAGTACCATGAGCCTGAAGCCAGCTTGGATTACACGGTGAATACCAGGCCAGGCAGGGCCACACAGTGAAACCTGTCTCAACAAACAAGCAACTGGAAAAGAGCACAGGGCATGATTTTCTGTGTTTCAACACTAGTGCGGTAGATGAAGCCCCTTCTGGTCTCTGTCTAGGGATACTTTTTGAATGACACAAAGACCCAGGTTCACCCCAACCTGCATCTCTTGGGCTAGACATGGCAGATGATGTGAACACTTTGGGGATGGTGAGGAAAACGGAGAAAAAGCTTTGTACTCACATTCGCCCCCGAGGAAGCTGAAGGAAACGTGGGGTTTGATTGAGCAAAGGCCCTTGGAATGGCTGCATACGGTGTCCCAAGATTTGAGGCATAATCTGAATGATAAATGACAGCAGGTTTAAAAAAAAGTCACAAACTTAACCTTCAGAATTCATAACTGGGGAGATGGCTTGATTGGTTGATGACCGCCCTGCAGGGCTGTGAATCTGAGTTAAATCCCTGGACCTCACATACAATAGCAGGTGTGGTACTTGCCTGTAATTTCAGTGTCGGGGAGGCAGGCAGAGACAAGAGTGTCTCTGAGGCTCCCTGGTTGAGCTAGAGACCAGTGAGAGGCCCTGCCTCAAAACTCTCTCTCTCTCTCTCTCTCTCTCTCTCTCTCTCTCTCTCTCTCTCTCT